GAACGCGTCGCGGCGACGCCGTCGGCGAACGCGCGCGTGGACGTCCGCGGTCTCGACGTCCCGTCGCGGCGTCGAACGCGTCGACGACGACGGCGAACGCGCACGTGCGCGTGAACGCGGTCACGTACGCCCCCGCCGGGTCTGGGGCGACCGTGATCGAGCGCGCGACGGTCGCGCTCGCGAAGCGCGGATTGCATCTCGTCGTCGGGCGCTCGGGGAGCGGGAAATCCACCCTGCTCGCCCTTCTCGCCGGACTCGCGGAGCCGACGTCGGGGACGATCGCGATCGGCGACGCGGACGCGTCGACCACCGCGGCGGGACGACGCGCGCGGGTCGGGATGGTGTTTCAGTTCCCGGAGCGGCACTTTTTGGGACGCACGGCGTTGGAGGAACTCACGTTCGGGTGGCCGGCGAACGCGCGCGCGTTCGCGACGCGACGGACGTTGGCGGTGGCGATGAATGCGGCGTTGCGGGCGGTGGGGATGGCGGACGTGGCGCTGGATACGGAGGTGCGGACGCTGAGCGGGGGGTATAAGCGGCGGTTGGCGTTGGCGATTCAGCTCGCGCGGGATCCCGAGGTGCTGTGCTTGGACGAACCGTTGGCGGGGTTGGATTGGCGCGCGCGCGCCGAGATCACGGCGGTGCTGAATGATTTGAAGCGAGATCGATGCGTCGTCGTGGTCTCGCACGACGTCGAGGAGATCTCGCCCATCGCCGACGCGGCGTTTCGCATGGGACCGCTCGGGCGCTTGGAAGACGTCTCGGACGAGTTGGCGGGCGCGCGCGCGCGCGCGTTCGGCGCGGCCTCCGACGAGTTCGCCGCGTTCGATTGAATTTCGGGCGCTGAAACATAGATTTCGATTAGCGACGCGCGCTGACGCGCGCGTGTAGTTTAGGAGGACGTCGCGTTCGCGACCAACCCGTCGGGCGTCGCGACGGCGACGAGCGTCCACTTCCCCTTCCCTTCGCTCAGGACGTCCGCCCACGTGGCATCCGCGTCCACCTCGCGTTCGAGCAGCGCCGCCGTCGCCGGCAGCAACCGCACCTCCTCCCCGCACAGCTCCGTCGCCGCCTCCTCCATGCCTTTGTTGTGTCCGACAGCCATGATCGTCCGCGCGTCCGGCACCTTCGCGCACGCCGCCTCCTCCGGCGGGCACGCCGCCAAAATTCCAATCTCCCTCGCCACGCACTCCGCCAGGTGCGTCCGATACTGCCCGTCCAGCGACGCAAAGTGATACAGCGACCCGAGATACATCGTTCGCCCGACGGCGCCGAACGCCGCGTCCGCCTCTCCCATCACCTCCAGCGTCTCCCGACTTCGCCTCGACGCCGAGCACAGGGTCACGTCGGGGATCCATCCACGTTCGCTCGCCGCGCGCGCGGTCTCTCTCGCGCGCGCGCGTCCGTCACGCGTCAGCGCGCGATCCGCATCTTTCTCATTCGCGTTCGACATCATCGCCTCGCCGTGTCGCAACATGATCAACCGCAGCGTCGTCGTCGTCGCGTCGAGCGCGCGCGCGCACGAACGCGAGGTCGGCCGTCGTCCGCGCGCGACGCGTCCCGCGTTCGCGAGCGCGGGGGCGC